TTTCCCTGTCTCTGTTACTCAGACTGCTGCTCATAGTGTCTGGCGCTTGCTCACGGGGATAGCAATGGCATCGGTACCTTCAGTTGGTTGCCTTCTGGCCAAAAATCAGTATTATCGAAGTAAGTAATATCATCACTAGAGGACCCCTAGAGAAAATGGTATGAAGTGATGTCTGAAGGGCATTCGTAACCCACGTATTGTATCCTGGTCATTTTAAGGAGAAGGAAGACTGATGTGACAGTGAAGGACAAAGGAATAGTATTCATTGGAGACTTCTCCAAATCAGTATTATCAAGGAAGGCTCATTTCTTTAACTATGTTATATGGTATCGATAAGGCCACTAATGCATAAATAAGTGATCAGCTCATATTTCAAAATAATGTTTAATTTCAATACTTTAAAAACCGATGACTTTTAAAAAATAAAATATTCAGTTTTTAGGAAAGAAGGGCTATCATAACTATGCTTCGTGGATTTTCTAATTTCTACTTTGCTGCCATGGATTATAGGTTAGCATCTATCATGACAGTTTTATTTTTATCATCTGTATTTATAGCTCAATAGAAAATTGTAGCTTCTTAAATTCAGAAATTTCATTAAATAAAATGATCACTTTAAAACCAACGTATCGCCCTGGCTGGTTTGGCTCAGTGGATAGAGTATCAGCCTGTGGACTGAGGGGTCCCAGGTTCTATTCTAGTCAAGGGCACATGCCTGGGTTGTGCGTTCGATCCCCAGCAGGGGGCGTGCAGGAGGCAGCCAATCAATGATTCTCTCTCATCACTAATGTTTCTCTCTCCCTTCCTCTCTGAAATCAAAAATATATTTAATAAAAAACTTATCATTTACTGAAAAGATGCCAGCAACATGTAAAAAAACCACTCTTATTTCAAGATGCTTTTAACTCTGTGTTGGAAACATCTATTGATTTGTCCTTTTTACAACAAGATTAAGCTATGCCCATTTACTTTTTGTTATTACAGCCACAGAAGTTATTTTTATATTCTGATATTTTAAAAGACTTATATGTTTCAAATGCAAATACTGTTTTTTTAAAAAAATAACTCCTTTATTTCTAAATATGATAGCCTTTGTATGCTATTTAAATATATACACGTAGTATTTCTAATGCAATAAAATAACTTTCATTCTTGATTTTATATTTCCTAAAATTTTAAATTTTATAGCACTTATAAAACATTTTAAATTCTATATCTATATCTGTGGAAAGAGAATGTTCACCACTGAAAGGAATATACCATATTAGTAAAAAATGTAATAAGCCTTATTATCTGGAAGACTTTGTGATTGATAATTTACTTAATTTTTAAATTCATAAATGTATGAGCTAGAAGTAAATAATTTCAAACCATACTACTTGAGAGTTTAGAGATAACTATGTATTTGTTTGCTTGTTATGTATTTGCTCATTCATTATTGTTTCTTTTGTAGAGGCCAGTATTTCTTCAGTTAGCTCTGACTCTGTTAATTTCATAGATGAAGACAAATCCCTTCAAGGTACTTAGTTTATTCCTTATCAGCATCACTCTCATTATTTTTCTGTTTTTAATCTCTCAAAATTTTGAAAAGGTCCTAGCCAGTATGGCTCAATGGATATAGCGTTGGACTGAGGACTGAAGGGTCCTGGGTTCGATTCCCGACAAAGGCACACACCCAGGTTGTGGGCTCAATCTCCAGCAGGGGGTGTGCAGGAGGCAGCCCATCAATGACTCTCTTACTGATATTTCTATCTCTCTCCCTCTCCTTTCCTCTCTGTCTGAAATCAATAAAAAAAAAATATAAAAATTTTGTTGATAAGGAAGTAATATGTATTTTATTTGATAGGGTTACCTGAAATGGCAGAATCCACCTGGTGGTTGAAATCCTTTTTTCATTCTGAACCTGTGCTTTCAAGTGAAATAAGAAAAGAACTGTCTGTTAGTGGGTAAGTTACAGCCTTTTCTGATAAGGGTATCTCTTACTAGCAGTGAATGAAACAATGCAAGTAGTAATTCTTAACCAATAAGATAAAATTGTTTCTTGAGGATGGTGTAGGCTTTGATATAAAGCAT